GTACACAAAAACATTGGGTTGTTGTTACTGTAGTTTAATTACTTGTTAGCAAAATGATTTATTTAACGAGCTCCTCAGGAAATACGACTTTGAAATTATAGTATGATATTCTTTGATACGTATACTATACAGTAAAATACTAAAATTAATAGGGTTTTTGACAACATTTCGAATTATTCATAATTTTATGGACAAAGAACACAAGAACACTGAGTTCTTGTTACTGTAGATTAGTTACTTGTTAGCAAAAATAATTTATTTAACGAGCTCCTCAGGAAGTACGACTTTGAAATTATAGTATGTTATTCTTTGATATGTATACTATAAAGTAAAATACTAAAATTGATAGGGTTTTTAACAATATTTCGAATTATTCACAATTTTGTGGACAAAGTACACAAGAACATTGGGTTGTTGTTCCTGTAGATTAATTACTTGTTAGCAAAATAATTTATTTAACGAGCTCCTCAAGGAGTACTAAATATACTGATATATATATATATATATATATATATATATATATATATATATATTAAAAGAAATATGTATTTGAAGGTATATTTTTACTTGTGAACTAATGCGCCGTCAGGTGAGGTCATGTCTTCAAGAAGCTTTTAAATGAATTTTATTTTTAGAAATTTCTCCCTACGTGTATCTCGATTTATATATATATATATATATATATATATATATATATATATATATTCCTCTATATACATGTCCAATTCCAAAATAGAAACAAATCTTTGTCAAAAGGTAACACGAACGCCGAAGGCTTTTACATTTCAAATACCTTTCAAATACTTCTACTTTGAATTTCTAAAATAGATTTAGAAATAGTTACGGAAAAACAACATTATATGCTATGTAAACTTATTATTATTTTATATATGCTGAAAATCTACTTATTTATTTATTAATAAGCAATTTAACTGTCTCACAGAAATTTTAAAATAAATTGTTATTTCAAATGTATATAATACAATTTACCTAATTAACTATTTTGCTGAAAATTGTCATCTGTATCTAATTCAGAATTTACGGCCAAAATAAAAGTTTCTATTGACAATTTTGAAAGATTTCGTTGAAATATTTTTGTAGAGTAAATTTTAGAATTTTCTTTTAATATATGGATTGATTTTGTGTCCTTTCTTCGATAAAATGTCAAGGTAAACATAAAAACAGAACCTTTTGATATCGATATTTATTTCTATTTTGACTGTACAGACGGCGAAGTTTTCACTAATGGCGGGAAACTTTTTTTATATCTCTACTTCTCGAAAAACGAGGGAGTTATACATACATAGAAATACAAATATACATACATATATATACAAATGTATGTATATACACCAAATTCTTCAGAGTGTCCATTAAAAACGAAAAATGTATTAAAGAATCTTTAATTTTTCCGAACGTTTCACATTTTTTTATTAACTCGAAATTTTTGTTCCTAGCACTCTTTTTTTGTTAGCTTAGCAGAAACTAGATAAAATTTACAACATTTCCATATAAAAACATTCATATACCCCAAAACAAAAATTTTGAATAAAACTCGCTAAAAGTCGCTAATATAGACTGTAGAAATTTGCTGTGTAATATTACGGACGTTTTTTACATTTTTTTAAATAACTTGAAATTTTTCTTCCGGGCACTCTTTTTTTGCTAGCTTAGCGGAAACTAGATAAAATTTACAACAATCCCATATAAACTGATTTATATACTCCCATACAATTTTTAACTTCCCGTAGGGCAAGTTATAGTAATCGCAAAAAAATCAAAAATGAAAATTTTTATATATCTTTACGTTTCAGAGGTTTCTTAACATTTTGGCATACCTTAGAAAAAATGGATGTATGTGTGTGTGTGTGTGTGTATGTATGTGTGTGTATGTATGTGCGGATACAAATTTTCGTCGACGATTTCGGGAACACGGATCAACCGATTTGAATAATTCAAAAAACATTCGATTCGTATTGATAAGGAGACGTGCTGATTAGTTTTTGGCGAAGGCAGGTCTAGCCGTTCCGAAGATACGGGGTAAAAAGTGCCGAAAACGGTAACTCAGTTTTTAAGAGAACGGAGCGTCCGATTTGAATAATTCAAAAAACATTTCACTTGTATTGGCAAGATGAAAAATCGATAAAATTTTCATGAAGGTAGGTCTAGCGGTTTCAGAGATATAGAGGAAAAAGTAAAAAAATGAGCCATTTGGCGGTCAAAAATGTTCATTAGACATATGCACATCAAATTATCAGATATTTTATAGAGATTTTAACAATAAGTATACATTTTGTTAACATTCCTATGGGTTCCGTACCAATGCTTATGCGTTAGACAGCGACGCGGCGCTTACGCGCTTTATATTTTGTCCCTATGCAGTTAAAGCAGTACGATTGCTTTGAAAAGAAAGTTCAGATCTTCCACAATATGTCAAAATAAAGAAAAAAAATTTTTTTTCAAAAAAAAAAATTTAAAAAAAAAATTATTTTTTTTAAAAAAATTTTTTTTTAAAATTTTTTTTTTTCAAAAAGAGTAATTTTTTGTCCAATTTATAGTTTCTCAAAAATCTTATTTTTTCAAAGTAAATTTTTTTCAAAAATGTTGATCGTTTTTTAAAAAAAATAATAATTTTTGGTACGGGAAGTTCCAGCAATTTGCCTTAAGGCACGATGCCCTAATTGCCTTAAGACAGAATTCCACTTACAGCTAGTTTTTAATAAAACTCGCTAAAAGTCGCTAACACATATTGTACAAATTGGTTGTGTAACATTATGGACGTTTTCTTACATTTTACATAAACCACTTATATAAACAGGTTTATATGTTTCCTTACAATAATTTTATATAAATCAAGCTTGAAAGTGTGAATTATATTTAGTAAAGTATTTTTTTTCCAAAGACTGTCTCTGTTAATTAATTAAGGCGGCTTAAGACAAAAGAATTTATCTTATCTAATGAAAAATGTTAAGCAGAACTATGTTATCTATAAAGTGGAATAAAAACAATCGTCATTCTTTAGATATTGTTGTAAAATAATCTTTTTGATATAAAATACGCCGCTTATTATCTCACAAAGATTCTTGGAGGACATTAATTAATAATGTTCAGTTCTCAAGATGGCTCTTTCATGTGCATTTATTTAAAAAAATTGGTTTGAAACATGCAAGACTGTTCATGTGGAATTGTTGTAAATTTTATCTAGTTTCTGCTAAGCTAATAAAAAAGAGTGCTGGATATAAAATTATCAAGTTATTTTAAAAAATGTAAAAAAAAACGTTCCTAATGTTACACAGCCAATTTCTACAATATATATTAGCGATTTTTAGCGAGTTTTATTCAAACTTTTTGTTTTTGAGTATATACGTGGTCTGTTCAAAAAGTACCCGGAATTTTCGTTTTTTCAAAAAAATATTTATTTATTCGTCTACATTAATGTGGTCCCCTTCAAAGTAGTCCCCCCCAGATATAATACACTTATGCCAGCGTTTTTTCCAATTTTCGAAGCACCCTTGATATTCACTTTTTGATATGTCCTTGAGCACTCTCAGCGATTTTCTTCAATCGAGGAAAACCGCCGTCCTTTCATGGGTCTCTTCAACTTTGGGAATAGGAAAAAGTCACACGGAGCCATATCTGGTGAATTTTTGCACTTTGCAACACTTTATTTCATTTTTTACGCAAAATTTAATACAAATTCTTTGACTTTTCAATTCTTCCATTGTAAAAATCGCCGAGCTCAGAAAAACACGTCGAACCTTAGCGACTACCACAGACAAAGTAAACAGTGAATATAGCTGAAAATTTCATCATACTTTAGGGGCATGTATACCAACACAATAAAAAAAAAATTTTGACAATCAGACACTCCAGACCCGCGAAATTTAATTATTAGTAATTCCGGGTACTTTTTGAACAGACCACGTAAATGTTTTATATCGAATTATAGTAAATTTTATCTACTTTTAGCTAAGCCAAATAAAAAAGAATGTCCGGAACAAAATTTTCAAGTAATTTTGAAAAATGTCCCTCATGATTCACCTCAAATTAGCAGATTTCATATTAATGATTTTAAACTTATTGTATTCAAAATTTTCATATCAAAGTGTATAAATCTGTTGATACAGTATTTTTGTAAGTAAATCTAGTTTCAGCTAAATAAGTAATCTAGTTTCAGCTAAGCAAACTAAAAAACTATTGCTCAGAACAAAATTTCAAGTAATTTAAAAAAATGAAAAAATGACCCTCATAATGCACCTCAAATAAGTACATTACATATTAGCGACTTCAAACTTATTGTAGTCAAAATGTTCATATCGAAGCATATAAATCTGTTTATACAGAATTGTAATAAATTTTATCTAGTTTGTGCTAAGCAAATCAAAAAAGAGTTGCCCAGAACAAATTCGTTATTTAAAAAAATGACAAAAAATGTCCCTTATAATACATCTCAAACTAACACATTACACATTAGCGATATCAAACTTATTGTATTCAAAATTTTCATATCGAAGCATATAAATCTGTTTACACAGTATTTTAGTAAATTTTATCTATTTTCCGCTAAGCTAACTAAAAAAGAGTTGACCGGAACAAAATTTTGAGTGATTTAAAAAAATGTGAAATGTACCGAATCCATATGTAACAAAGTACCATAGATGTGCGAGTTCAAATTTATTTTTCTCTAAATTTATGTATAACACTGTATAAAAAAGTTTATATGAAATTGTTATAAATTTTATCTAGTTTCTGCTAACTAAAAAAGTTGTCCAGAACAAAATTTTTGAGTAATTTAAAAAATTATCAAAAAATGTCCCAAACTATATTGGCTACTTCATACTAGTTCCTTCAACGTACCAAAAGCTCTTAAGAACTAACAACAAATAAAATAAAAAAATATATAAATATAAATATAAAAATATATATAAAAATATAAAAAATATATAGATATATAAAATATATATAAATAAATATTAATAAATGAATAAATAATAACATACATGGTCTCGTGTAGAGTGCAGTGGTGGATTGCATCATTTGCATCATTTCTGGATACTTCATCGGTGACAAATGATTTCTTTTTTTTCACCTTAGTCAAAACTTCTTTAACTTTGACATCACTGAACATCGATACCAAATCACATTCGATACAAAATCATCGATAACATCATACTTTTTGCAAAAGTCATATTGTTTAAACAAATAAATCACAAACTGAAAATCAATAGTAATAAATTAATAAATAAATAAATATATATTAATTTATATATATATATATATATATATATATATATGTATAATTTATAAACAAATATTTTTAAATATTAATTATTATTTTTTATGTTCTTTGTTCAACGTATATGTTTATAATAAATTTTATATCATATATTAACAAATAATCTTTAATATATAATTTTTATTATTTAAATAATTTATTATAACTATTTAATTTGTTCAAATTAATATTAATTATATTAGTTTATTGTGTTTATATATTAATTACCATATTTTTTTTAAATTTATAATTATTACCAAAAACCAAGAAATCAAAACTGAAATGAAATTTTTTGAAGAGATTTTTATGGATTTTTTTAGATTTTCATTAGAATTTTTGTTTTGGATGAAATTACACAAAATATTTGTTAAAAGAGTAAAAAATAGATAAAATTTATAATAATTTGCTAAATACTTCTCTGGATAATTAGATGATTTTTTTAATAATATAATAAGAAGAAATGTAATTGTCCATATAAAAAACATTAAACGATGGATTTGTTAATATTTTTTTTTATATTTGTTCAAATTATTTCATCTATATAAAATTATATAAAATTAATTGTGTTATAATAGTTTAGAGTAAATGAAAATTTGACTCGTAAAAAATTATTAGAAAATTAGAAATTTCTATTAGAAACTTTAATTCGTAAAAAAAAATTGTCCTACTATAAATACATAAAATTAGAAAAAGTTTTACTATTCGGTAAATATTTAATATTTTTCATCATGTTAGTTAAAATTGTAATAGAAACTATATAAAAAAAAATAAGTTTTTTTTATATAAAATTAATTGTGTTATAAAAGTATGAAATAAATAAAAATTTTATACGTAAGAAATTATTAGAAAATTAGAAAATTCTATTAGAAACTTTAATTCGTAAAAAAAAATTTGTCCTACTAAAAATACATAAAATTAGAAAAAAGTTTTACTATTTGGTAAATATTTAATATTTTTCATCATATTAATTAAAATTGTAATAGAAACTATATAAAAAAAAATAAGTATTTTTTTATATAAAATTAATTGTGTTATAAAAGTATGAAATAAATAAAAATTTTGTACGTAAGAAATGATTCGTAATAATTATTTAAAAAAATTTAATTCGCAAGAAAAAAATATTTTGTCCTATTATAAATATATAAAATTATAGAAATTTTAACTTTTTGGTAAATGTTTAATATTATTCATCATATTAGCTAAAATTGTGATAGAAACTATATAAATATATTTGAGCAATTTTTAAAGAAAAACTTAAAACTTTTAGTATCTTGTTATTAAGAAATCAAATTATTATTTAACTTTGGACGTCTTTTGATGCATTTTTTTTACGTTTCGTCATGTAACTTTTTTTAAATAAAAATAATAACAAATTATGTTAAGGACGTAAAAAGTACTATAATGTTTTAGTAAATATTTTAGAATCCTACGACATCTTTTAAAAGCTCAACAAGGACCTAAACCCAAAACTTATATGAGTTGCATTTTAAACGAATCGCTTTATGTACTTTTGCACAGAAATTATTGTAACTTTGCAAATAATTAAAATATCAACAAAGTATGTTAGAAACATAAAAACTACATCTAATTTACTAATATTTAGTGAAAATTTCGTTATCCTACGACACCTCCTAAAAGTTCTACAAAGACCAAAATACGAAGCATTGTAAACCGAATCATTTTGTGTGCTTAAGCATAATTATTAATGTAACTTTGAAATTATTTAAAATATCGGCAAAGTATGTTAGAAACATAAAAACTGCATAAAAGTTACTAAATTTTGGTAAAAATTTCATCATCCTACGATATCACCTAAAAGTGCTTCAAGCCCCTAAACACCTAACTCACATCAATTCTATCTTAACACAACCTCCAGCACATTTTTCCACAGTTTGCCTTATAACTTTGCACAGACTCAAAAAAACAAAAAACAATATTAAAACCAAAAAAACTACATAAAATTCCCAACATTCCAACAAAAAAATCATTTTCATAACACATCTGCAAAAAATGCTACGACCTCCCAAACCCAAAACTTGTACACATCACATCTCGCATTATAATTTTTTTTTTTTTTTGAAGTAAAACTTCTTAACTCACTCTGACAATCACCATTGGTCCAGACGTTCGCCAGCGTCCACAGGCGATACGAATAGCTGTCGTAACAGCCGAACATGCTTCGGTCGGATTCGGCTGCTGTTTCAGCACATTTCAGCCTCGCCACCATAATAATTGATTTTTATTTTTAAATTTTTTTTAGGGAAATTAGGGGAGGTTTGATTTCTTGATTTTTAGTAATAGGTACATAGTCAAAACTTTATGCCACGTCACAACATATGTGGGTAGTTTTTATTTTGTTTGTAAGTATTTATTTCATATTTATTTTTGTTTAGTAGATTATTTTGAATATTATTTTTATTAATTATATATTTTCTGAAATTTTTTGCGTATTTATAGGTTCCTGTAAAAATTAAAAAAATGAGTTTTATATTATTTCTGCAATTTTATCTTACTCATACCATTTTGTAAATAACTTTAATTTGAGATTTTTAGTAATTTTTTTTGAAATTTCTCCAATTTATCGTAATTGTAAGCTAAAAATAAGAATATTTTAAGATTTTTTTTGAGTCAATATTTTTCTGCGATATTATTTGTAAATTATTAATTTCTTTTAATAAAAAAAAATAATAAAAATTAAAAATTATCCTAATTATTAACGCCTGTAAATTTTCTTATTTTTTTAGTATTTTTTTTTTCAATTTCTGCAATTTTGATGTGTTTATGTAGATATTGATTTTGTTTAGTAAATAATTCAGGTATATTTTTATTAATATTTTATATTTTCAGCAATTTTATCTTATTATAAAATTTAAATTGAATTTCATCTTATTACAAAATTTTAGTAAAATTTTATCTCATTAGTAAAATTTGCGCCTTCAGTATTTATAAAAAAAATGCGGCTTGGAATTTAACAAAGAAAAATATACTGTACAAACAAATGTGTGTAAATTTATTTAAAACTATTAAATTTTATTTTATTATTTATTAAAAAAAATTGTTTTTTTTATGATGCACTAAATTTTTTACATTTCCTTTAATTTTTTTGTAAATTTATTGTACATTATGTAGAGAATTTTTATCTATATTTTTTATCTAAATTAGAAAATTCTTAGAGTTGAATTTTATTTTATTAGTCAATCTTAACGCGGCTTCAAATTTGACAAAGAAAATATACTTAAAATTTTATTTTATTATTAATTTTGAGATTTGTTTTTATTACTTATTTTAAATTCAAAGTTTGAATTTTGCGCCCAATTTTATATGAGTCTGTAAAGAACCAGTAACAATTTTAAGATTTCTAATTATTTTTTTATTTTTTCTACAAATTTTGTTTTATAAAAAAATTCTGGTGGTATTTTGAATTTAAATTAAAGTTTACTTTAATGTCTTAAAAAACGCGGCTTCAAATTTAACAAAGAAAAATATACGGCGCGAACAGAAATTTAACAAATGTAATTTAATAACTGTATATATTGTTCGTGAATTGGTGATTTTTTTTTACTGAAAGACACTTAAATAAAATTCCTTAAGTTTTGGTAAAAGATTCATTTTCCTACCACATTTATACAAAATTCTACAAAGACCTAAATACAATTTAGGTATTGCAATTGATGAATTGTTTTATGCACTACTGCATAATTATTATTGTAATTTTGTAAATAATTAAAATATCAAAAAAGTATGTTAAAAACATAAAAACTACATTAAATTTCCTAAATATCAGTAAAAATTTCAATCTCCTACGACATCTCCTAAAAGCTCTACAAGGACCTAAACACAAAACTCATACGAATTGCATTTTAAGCTGCGCAATTAGAAACATTTTGTGCACTTCTGCATATTTATTAATGTAACTTCGTAATTAGTTAAAATATTAACAAAATGTGTTAGAAACATAAAAACTACATTAAATTTTGTAAATTTTGGTAAAAATTTCGATATCCTACGACATCTCCTAAAAGCTCTACAAGAACCTAAACATGAAACTAGCATTTTAAGCCGCGCAATTAGAATCATTTTGTGCACTTTTGCTTATTTATTATTGTAACTTTGCAATTATTTAAAAAATCTACAAAATATGTTAGAAACATAAAATCTACATAAAATTTACTAACTTTTAACCAAAATCTCAGTCTACTATGATATCTCCTAAAAGCTTTACAAGGACCTAAACATGAAACTTATACGAATTGCATTTTAAACAACGCAATTATAAAAATGTGACGCACTTCTGCATAATGATTAATGTAACTGCATAATGATTAATGTGTCTTTGTAATTAGTTAAAATATCTATGAACTATGTTAGAAGCATAAAAACTGCATAAAATTTCAAAAATTTTGGTAAAAATTCCAGTTTCCTACGACATTTCCTAAAAGTTCTAAAAACCCCTAAACAACAAACTTATACCAATTCTATCTTTGTACTATTTTTGAGCACATTTTTTCACGTTTCGCACCATAACTTTTTACGCAGTCAAAAAACCAAAAGACGTTATTAGAAACAAAAAAACTACATAAAATTTCCAACATTTTGGCAAAAAAAACATTTTCGTAACACATCTGCAAAAAATGATAAGACGGCCTAAACCCAAAACATGTACACACCTTAACTACCACAATTCCTATTCTACATCCATCGCATTTTACATCATCATACATATGAAGTAAAACTTCTTAAGACTCGTAAATCTCAAAGTACAATTATTTACAGACTCGGGTAATATAAGTAAGACAAAATATCTATAAACTATGT